GCTGTGCTGTTTGTCTCCGTGTTTCTGTGTCTAGACACGTTTCCTGTCTCAGGGGAAAAGCCACTGCCGTTTGCTGTCCTTGGGCTCCCTGGAAGATGCTCCCAGCTCATCTCCTGCGCTCACGAGCCCGGACATCTCCTGTCTTTCAGAGGACCGCCTCTTGGGCGGGATTTAGAAGCAGGGTCTAGGAATCAATGCTCAGGAATCCTTCCTGGCAACGCTCAGGGGACCAGATGGGCCCAAGGTGTCCCCAGGCTTTCTGGGTGGCACAAGCCCTTCTTTGACCGCAACAGGTTGGGAGCAAGAGAGCCGACTCCCTCTGTCCAATCCAAGACCAGCTTACCTCTGCTCTCGTCACACGACTCACTTCCGTCCTGACTGTGACAAACCCAGCTCCCGAGTGTGTGCATTTGCTGACACATGTCCTTGTCTCTGACAAGGGCTTCTCGCCCCCTCCCCCGGCCCCTCGGGATCCAGGGCTCTGCCTCTGACCAGAGTGGACGGTCAGAGTTGTGCTGGTGCCCAGCTCCCTCATCCTGTGGTGAGTCCCACCCCGGGTGAGGTGCCCACCGAGCTGGGTGAGGTGGGTGCCCTCCCCACTCTCCCCAAGTCCTGCCGACCCGCAGCGAAGTGCCCTGGCTGTCCTGAGCCCGGCGTCTTACACCAAGCAGCCCTCTCACAGGGCTTGGGCTCTAACAGTGCTCCGGCCAGCGCCGTGCTCCCGACTTCCCCCGCCAGTCCCGAGGGAGACGTGAGCTTGTGGGAGGGAAGGGCAGGGAGAGGCTGTCCGAGAGGGCGGAGGCAGGAGGAGGGGGCCTCACTGCTGCCCAGGCGCCTCTTCCGGATCCCGCTTTCTTTCAGGTCTTAAAGTTTTTCTACCCGTTTCTGATATTTCCAGGTCCTGGGACCATTGGGACATCGGTGTGTAGCTTCGTTTGGGGGCCACAATCAGCGGTGCTCAGGGTGACTCCTGGCTCTGAGCTCAGGAACCATCCCTGGCAATGCTCAGGGGACCAGGTGGGAGCAAACCGAGCATCGAACCTGGATCAGCCACATGCAAGGCAAATGCCTTATTCGCTTACTATCTCTCTGGCCTCCTACTTTTATTAAAAATGAAAAAATGTGTACATATATACATACATATACATATATCTCACTGTATCACTGTCATCCCATTGTTCGTCGATTTACTCGAATGGGCGCCAGTAACGTTTCTAACTGTCCCAGCCCTGAGATTTTAGCAGCCTCTCCTTAATCATCTTTCCCAACAACTGGAGGCTCTTTCAGGGTCAGGGGAATGAGACCTATTATAGTTACTGTTTTTGGCACATCGAATATGCCACAGGGAGCTTGCCAGGCTCTGCCGTGTGGGCGGGATATTCTCGGTAGCCTGCCAGGTTCTCTGAGAGCGAGAACTAGACAATAAGAGGTCAAGAGAGGCGTGTGTGTGTGTGTGTGTGTGTGTGTGTGTGTGTGTGTGTATGTATGTATGTTATTACACTTTTTGTTTGGGCCACATCCAGCAGTGCTCAGGGGTTATTCCTGGCTCTGCACTCAGTAATCACTCCTGGCGGTGCTCAGGGGACCAGATGGGACCTGGCAATCGAACCCAGGATGGCCGAGTGCAAGGCAAATGCCCTCCCCGTTGTACTTCTCCTCTGGCCCTGTATTTTTGACTCGCGGGTGTGGCGGCCTCCTCCTGTGCGTGCTGTGATCGTGCTAGTTGGTGGCACTAAGCGACACATGTGCAGTGAGCCAGGATGAGACCTTCTGAGTTCTGGCTTCACCAGGGAGCCGCGTGCTCGTGTCCTGCTGAAACAGAGACCAGGACTCGCCCCCCAATAGCAGTGGTGGTAGGGTCCCCACGACGCCCTGCCTGTCCTGTGTGTGTGGAGCTCGGACTCGCCCCCTTCTGCCATCCCGCAATATGACGACGTCACGGGTTCCCGCGACTGGTTTTGCGGGAGGGCCCCTCGCGTCCCTAGCCCATCCTCTGGACCCACTTGTAACTAAGCACAAAGGTGAGTTTCTAGCATCTCCAGCGGGCGACAGCTGACGTCTGAGCACTCATTAGACCTCATCTCTCACACTGTCACACAGACACGAGCAGGGAACGCAGGAGGCTGACAGCGTGGGGTCGGTGGCATTTCAAGCAGCCCCGGCGGGGCTGCCCTACTTAGGGGAGGGAAATAAGGGTACGGGAGCTATCTCGGCTTAGCAGCAGCCCATGAAAACCAACCCTCCCAACAGCCAACCAAGCTTTCCGCCCAGACCTTCCTGCAAGGTGGCTTGGAGCAGCTAAGGAGCCTTTGTTTGGGGGTGGGGTGGGGTGGAGTGGGGTACACCTGGGGGAACTCAGGGCTGACTTTTGACCTTTGGTTCTGTGCTCAGGGATCATTTCTGGTAGGGACTGGGGAACCACATGTGGTGCCAGGGGTCAAGCCTGGGTTAGCTGCATGCCGGGCAAACGCCTCAACCCCTGTGCCTTCCCGTCTGCAGAGGCTTGGCTTTTTTTTTTTTTTGTAGTAACCACAGAGGGCTGGGATAAACCGTGGGATCTTGCATGTGCCACACATTTTTACCACTTGGGCTGTCTCCCGAGAGGCATTTTGAAACTCCGCATGTTTGTATAAAACCAACGTCTTCGACCACTGGTCCTCAGCCTGATGCTGCCACAGCTGTGGAACGGCTGGGAGCCACTGGCGTCCTGCCATGGTTTAACTGCTGCTCTGTGGACTGGTGTGCAAGACGGGCGCGAAAACGCCGAAAACCAGTGTTTTATACCTTTGTTGCTAGGACAATATTAATCCGTAGTTGAGGGATCCAGACAGGTCAGGCTCAATTTGTTAAGCGCTTCAAGTACTTGGTGTCCATGCTGAAAGGCTTCCCAGAAGGTGTCTGATGAAAGCAATTGAGTTCTTGTCCTAGAGAAATCTCTTTTTGGTGATTCATAGTCTAGAGATGTCTTTCTATTTATTTATTTATTTTTTGCTTTTTGGGTCACACCCGGCGATGCACAGGGGTTACTCCTGGCTTTGCACTCAGGAGTTACTCCTGGCGGTGCTCAGGGGACCATACGGGATGCTGGGAACCGAACCCGGGTTGGCCGCGTGCAAGGCAAACGCCCTACCCGCTGTGCTCTCTCTCCAGCCCCAAGAGATGTCTTTTTAAAGGTGTAACTGGGTGAGTGTTTCCAAGAGATTGCTTCCTATTTGTGAGTTTTGGAGGAAGTGTCCTTAAGATCTCCACAGAAAATGCCCTGGAAAATGTATCTGGCTTAGGAATTCCCTTCACGAGCTCACAAGACGGTGAGGGGTTAAGGGCCCAAGCGGCTTCAAAGCTGGATGTGCTAACGTGCCTTCTGATGGAGACTTGGTTATTCCAGGCTGTTACATATATAAGTCAGAACCGAGTTAAAGGCTTCCTGTTTCTCGGTTTCCAACAAGTGTTACGTGAGTCATTAACTCAGGAATGTTTACTTCTGCGGGGAAAAAAAAAAAAGACAGAAATGTGTTCTTTTTTTTTTTTTTTCTTTTTTGCTTTTTGGGTCACACCTGGCGATGCATAGGGATTACTCCTGGCTCTGCACTCAGGAATTACTCCTGGCAGTGTTCGGGGAACCATATGGGAGGCTGGGAATCGAACCCGGGTTGGCCGCGTGCAAAGCAAACGCCCTACCCGCTGTGCTATTGCTCCAGCCCCGAAATGTGTTCTAACATACATGAAGCATCTATGGATCTATGGGAGCGGACTCCTTCCAGCCACCAGGACCACGCTGCTCCCAGGCAGATGTGGGTGTGCAGCCCTCGCCTCCCCTGTTCCATCTTCCCCAAACACCCATCCCACCAGCACCAGCGTCCAGAGAGATTCCTGAGGCCGCAATGATCAACGGCCCTTGCCTAACCCCCAGGAAGGTCCTGGAGACTGCAGCTCAGAAGTCAAGGCTTGAGACAAGGGGGGGTGCAAAAGAGAGGCTTTATTCGGGAGCGAGCTGTCCCCCCAACCGCCACCTTGCGAGCACTGTCACAGGGAGCAGCTCCACCAGGCGAAGAACCAAGCGGGGAAACTCAGCTGAACGGCTGAGTTCACTTGCTGCAGCCTTTGCACATGAGGGCGCACACCCGCGCCAGGCTCCGTGGCTGACGGGGGTGGGGGGTGGTGACAGTGGCAGGTGCTGGATGGCCCGCCCGGGGCGGTGCGCACTCTCCACCCTGACGAGGCTGTGCGCGTGCCTGGTGGTCACCTCACCGGGTGTGCGAGCGCTTGACTGCCACCTCGGAGGGTGAGTGCATGCCTGATGGTGGCCTCATTGGGTGTGCTCTCAGAGGGTGAGCCCGTGCCCACTGGCAGCCCGAGAGGGTGCTCATCCACCTGACGACCTCCTCAAAGAGTGTGCTCCTCAGAGGCAGTGCTCCCAGGAAGCGCTCTCAGAGGCAGTGTTCTCAGGCAATGCTCTCGGGGTGTGCTCACAGGCAGTGCTCAGAGGCAGTGCTCTCAGGCAATGCTCTCAAGAGGCAGTGCTCCCAGGCTGTGCTCTCAGGCAATGCACTCAGGGTGTGCTCAAAGGCAGTGCTCTCAGGCAATGCTCTCAGAGGCAGTGCTCCCAGAGGCAGCGTTCTCAGGCACTGCTCTCAGGGTGTGCTCAGAGGCGGTGCTCCCAGGCGGTGCTCTCAGAGGCGGTGCCCCCGGGCTCCTCGGCGGGTGCGCGCGCACGTCCGCCTCGCCTCGCCTCGCCTCTTCCCGCCTCGGCCGGCGCCGTCCGCGGGCCGCTCCCCGCTCCGGCCGGGCGGCCGTAAAGCTGGGCGGGCGCGGCCGCAAAGCGCGTCGCGACGGGCCGCGGGGCCGCCCCTCCAGGCCCCGCCCCCGCCCCGCCGGCCCCGCCCCTCCCGCCGGCCCCGCCCCCGGCCGCGGCGGCGTCAGCGCGGGCGCCGCCATCTTCCCGTGGGGCCGCGCGCGGCCGCCATGTTGCGCTGAGCCGCGCGTCGCTGCGAGCCCACCCGCGCCGGCCGCCCCGCAGGCCATGGCGGCCGCCCTGGGAGCGGGCGGCGGGCCGGGCGCCGGAGGTGGGTCTGGGCCGGCGGGCGGGCGGGCGGGCGGGCCGGGCCGCGTCCTGCGGGGCGCCGCGTCCTCCGGGGCCGCGGGCCGGGCCGGCTCCCGCGTCGGGGCCGGGCCGGGCCGGGGCGCGTCGCGTCGCGTCAGGGCCGGCTCGGCCCGGTTCGGCCCGGTTCGGCTCGGCCCGGTTCGGCCCGGTTCGGCGCGGCTCGGCTCGGGCCGGCTGTGGCTCCGCCCCCGGGCCGGGCGGGCGGGCGGCGGGTGCGGCGGCGGCGCCGACGTTCGCTTTGTCCCGGCGCCCGCGGTCGGCGGGTGGGCCGCGGCGCGCGGGGCCCCTTTGTCCGGCCGCGCGGGCCGGGGGTCGCGTCGGACGGGCCCCGGGCGGACCCCCGGGCGGACCCCGGGCAGCGCCGGCCGCGGGGCAGGGAAGGTGGCGGGGGCCGCGGGGTCGCCTCGCCCGAGCGGGGTCTGCGCGCCCCCGCCCCCGCCCCGGCCACGCCCCCGGCCGCGCTCGCTCGGGGTCAGCTCGGGGTCGGCCCGGCCGCTCGGGACCCTGCGGGGGTCGCGGGGGTCGCGCGGCGGAGCGGCCCCGGCCCGGCGCCTCCTCGAACTTCCTCTTCCTCGGGCGCTTCCCCCCCTTTTTTTCTTTTTGATTTTAATCTATTTTGAAGTCGTGCTGGGGGTGCCGGGCCGGACCTGGGGCCGGACCGGGGGCTGGACCTGGGGCTGGACCTCGGGCTGGACCTGGGGCTGGACCGGGGCTGGACCGGGGCTGGACCGGGGCTGGACCGGGGCTCACGCGCGCCAGGACCGTGGCTGCTGGGGGCGCGTGTGCGTCTTCGTGGGCTTTTGTGTTTGTTTTCATTTCTCATCTGTGTGTGTGTGTGTGTGTGTGTGTGGCCTTTGTGTCTGTTTCCGTTGCCCACCTCGCCCGTCCGTCGCTGACCGTCCCGGAAGTGGCCGCGGGTCCCCTTGCTGGCTGTCGGTCCGTCCCTTTAGGGTCAGGCCAGCGGGCTCGCCCGGAGTGAGTCAGTCGTGGGGGTGCCTGTTGTTTTTGTTTTGGTTTTTTTGCATCGAGAAACAAATCTCCTGGAGGCTTGAGTGACTTTTGTTGCCGGCCCCTTGGACCCGGCCCCTCCGTAAGTCCCTGTCCAGTTTCGACCCTGGTTACTGGTAGTTTCTGAGTCCGCAGATGCTTTCGATCGTTTGGAAATTTCGTGTCCTTCTTAGATCTCAGACTGGGAGCCCGAGAGCTGATGCGGGCTGGTGAAGGTGTTCCCCGTGTCCGCGGCCGACCGGTCCTGCCCATCCCTGCACCACCGGGAGTGGGCCCTGGGCTCTCGGTCACCCCAAGTCTCCCCGTCCCTCTCAGAAAACAGATGGATTTAGATGAGATGCTGCAGCTTCCCGGGAACGGGCGTGTGGAAGGCAGGTCTTTTGAGACCCCTCCTCGGTGAACAGACTCTGTGTTGCTTTTGGGCCGCGCCTGGCGATACTCTGGGGCTGCACCTGGGTTCGTGCTCAGGTAACCCTCCTGGCGGGGGTTGGATCCGGGTTGGCTGCATGCAAGGGAACCACCCGCCCCCCTGCCCCGTTGCTCCGGCCGCACCCGCACAGACGCTAGTTCTGTTTCCTCTGGGGTGGACGCCGGCTAGGCCCCACCTAACTGAGCGAGAAAGGTGACTTGTTTTCCTTTCCGGTTTTGCCTCGTTCTTTTCTGGCCTCCAGTTCTGATGTCTGATGCCGTTGGTTGCTGTTCCCCCATCACCTGCCCTCCCCTGACTAGCTGGACTGTCCAGGCCCTGGGCTGGCTGTGCAGCGCAGCTGGTGGACGCGGCCTGTGGGGCCTGGAGTTTCGGGGTCCCAAGTTCCCTTTCGTTGCTTCGCTCTCACCTCCTGAGACGACCCAGGATTTTGGTGCTTGGCCTCTGGCTGAGTTGTAAGAAGGGGAGGTCTCCTTCGGGTGCTCTGCATCTGCACTGTGCGGGCTCCGTGCAGGACCCGGGCTCTGGGGACCCACCTGTTCCTCGGGGCACTTGTTGCACGCTTCAGAGCTGGGGCCAGTGGCCTGGCACTGCTCGGACCCGGCCACACCTGGGAGGACTTTGGGCACCTTCAGGACAGTGCGAGGGACCGCACTTGGGCCTCATTGAGGGCTCCGCGCGTGCGGCTGGCTGCAGGGCCCGCCCGGGCGAAGCTCGGGGAGGATGGGGCGTGGGGAGACTGCCGACCCCTCGGACAGGAGGAGGCTGGGCGTGGGGCTCGCTCGCCAAGCCCTGCGGCTGCTGCTGCTGCTGCTGCTGGTCACTTGGCTTCCAGGACTCCGGTGCTTTGTTCAAAATAAACACTGTGGTTTACAAAGTTGTTCATAACACAGTTATTTTAGGCATTTTATGTCCCAGCACCAATCCCACCCGCAGTGTGACCTTCCCTCCACGTTGTCCCAGCGTTCCCCTCCCTCCCAAGGCTGCCCTCTAAGCAGGCACAAGGTGATTGAACTATCAAAAAATAGTTCGGTGCAAGAAACTCTGTGACTGGAGAGATGGCAGGGTGGGGGGGCACTTGCCTTGCATGTGGCCCACCTGGGCTCGGTCCCCGGCATCCCATAGGGTCCCCCAAGCACCGCCAGGAGTGATTCCTGAGTGCAGAACCAGGAGGAACCCCTGGGCATTGCCGGTGTGACCCAAACCTAAAACTAAGTGAAAAGAAACTTGGAAAAGGGTTCTGTCCCGGTGGGGTCATTCAAGGGGATTCTGGGCTGGTGTTTGTTCACTGAGCCTCCCGTGTTCCCTTGTTGTCTGTGGGCTCAGGGGGCTTCTGTGCCACTGTCCCAGCTAATTCGCTCCTCCTGGGCTCTCATGTTGCAGAATGAGGTGTTGTGCTCCAGGAACTGTTTTCTCTTGAGCGTAGCCCGAAGCCCGGCCTGGGAGAGGCCGCCTCACCTCGCTCCGAGAGGGCCCTGGAGTTGGCCCGAGACCCTCGGACCTGGGAGCTCAGGGATTGGGGTCTCAAGTCGTGGGTTCTTGCTGGGTGGGTGCGAGGCACCTGGCCGGGGGACAGACCTTTCGCCCTGTCTCCCTCTTTCTGAGAGAAGATAGAATTCTGCTACTTAGGACTCGATTTTTAACTCGACTTTGATGTCTGGGCCTGTCTGGCTGTGCTCAGGGGTCGCGCCTGGTGCTGCAGTGGCGCCATCTGGTCTGCTGGGGTTTGAACCAGAGTTGACTGCACCCACGACAGGTCCCTTATCCCTCCACCATCTTGCCGGCCCCTGCTTCCGATTTTCAAATTGACACCACTGGTAGCTAGTCCAGTGTTCCCAGTTGCAGCAGTAAGATGATTTGGAGAAGAGGGCCTGGTTCAGAGAGTGCGTCTTGCAGGCCTGCTGTTGTGGAAGGAAAGGATGTTAGTCCGGAAGGCTCTGCTTGCTTTCTCAGATGGGTCACTCTCCTGGAGTCCCAGAATCTCCTGCTTTCGTGAGAACCTGGCACACTTGAGCGTGATTCTGGCCACACGGTGCAGTGGGTGCTGGGAGTGATCTTGTTCCTTGCTCCAACAAGTCGTGATCGTGCTGTAGCATTTTATTTTTTTAAAAATAATTTATTTTTTATTTATTTGTTCTTGTTGGGTCCCACCCAGCGATGCTCAGGGGTTCCTCCCGACTCTGCACTCAGAAATTACTCCTGGCGGTGCTGGGGGAACCGCATGGGATGCTGGGGGTCGATCCTGGGTCTGCTGAGTGCAAGGCAAACGCCCCACCCGCTGTACTATTGCTCTGGCCCCATGATTTTTTTTTTTTGAGAAAAATTGGGTATTTTTACTAGAAAAAAGCGACTCTAGGCATCGGCGATGGTGACCTCCACGCCAGGCTCGATGCGGATGGACGTGATCTGCTCCACGATCTCTGACGGGCTGTGCAGGTCGATGAGGCGCTTGTGGACGCCCATCTGGGAGTGGTCCCAGGTCTTGAGCCTTTGCCGCGCGGTGTCTTCTGGGCGGTGAGGCGCAGCGTCCTGGTGGCGTGTGCCCCGAGCCCTTCACCTTCAGGTCCTTCTCCGTGCCGCCGCGGATGAGGTCGGCGCACACCTTCTCCAGTGACTTCACGTTGCGGTGGATGGCCACCTCGGGCTCCACCGGCGTCGTGCCCGTGTCCTTGAAGGCCATGGCTGCGCTGCGGCCTCCTGACCGACTTGTCCCTCGGCGCGAGAGAACAGCAGTCAGTCAGGAGCGGCACCGGTGCGTGCCTTGTCTTCCGCCGAAAAGGCCCATGATTTATTTTTCATTCTTATTATTTTTGGTGTTGAGGCCACTATTGGCAGTGCTCAGTGCTGACTCCTGGCTCTGTGCTCAGGGCTGACTCCCGGCTCTGTGCTCAGGAATCTCTCCTGGTGTGCACCCTCCTCCCGGTTCTGTCAGTCCAGCCTGTGCCCCAGTGTTTTAGATTAGGGACCTTTCCTTCCTCCGCTCGGGAGTCTCCTTCAGTGGTCTGAGTTCTTGTCGATCAGGCCTCCCGTTGACGTTGACGGGTCGCATGGAGCCAGGGCTCGCTGTTGGGATGGGCGGTGCCCTGCCGGCTCTTGCAGGGGCCAGCTCTGTGGCGCTCACACGGGTGAGGGGCCCCGTGGCCGGGCAGGCAGGAGCTGGCCTGGAAGCCATGAAGACTCCTGAGCTGTGGGAAGGGTGTGGGGTTGCTGCCTCAGTGTCCCCCCTGGTTTTCTTGAGCTCCCCTCAGCTCCTCCCTGGGAGCCTCCCACCGCCTCTGCCTCTGGGAGCATTGCAGACACTCGCTGCGGGTTTGGTTTCCTGCCGCTGCCTGGGTCCTGGGGTCTCTGCTCCCTGCAGGGAGAGCGTGGGGGGGGTCATCATCGGTGGCCAGGAGAGAGCTTGGCCAACTCGCGCTCTTTCTGGTGTGTCTCCCCTCCCACACTTACGGAACAGGGTGGGGGCGGGAGGAGACTGGGGGGAGCGGACACTGGTGAGGGGCGGGTGTCCAAACACCGCATGCCGGAAC